GTTAAACAAGAACCCTTTTCCCTTGATGTCTGAACCTAACCTATCTGTTTTCCCAATTTTGTGCATAGGGTCGTCCCTTGTCTTGGTGACATTGTAAAATATTTTGATTATGATAAGATAAGGAATAAAACTAGAAAATTCAAATTTGGAACGTGTAAATTAATAGAAGATTAACTAATGTTTCACAAAAAAAAAAACAAATAACTAAATAATATTCACAAGGAAAATAAATAATTATGCAATTACCTTCCTTGTTACAAAGGGCATTAATTTATTCAATTATTCCTAATTACCAAAATAATTCGACTAAAATTATCTGTTTTTTAACATTTAATAAAAGTTACATTAAGAAATCCTCTCCATCCCTTAACTTTACATCTTGTCACCTCTACGATAGAGGACAACGAATAAGGGGACAAGGACATAGTTAGGAAATCAGCCATTAAAGGTTTTATTAAGGTTTGTTTAATCGGCCTGTGAGTTTCGAATAAAATAAGTGAAGTCCGGTGTACTAAGCTGTTGCTATGCGCATGGTCCGGGGAAGGGCAATACCACAAGGGTGTATTATACGCGACCTATCTAGCATTTTTGCAAGAGACTATTTTCACGGTTCGAACCCATGACGTCCTGATCACACTTGACAACAGCTTTACTAGTTACGCCATACTTTCCTTCGAAGTTTCAAAATACCAGATGATTAAAAAAATAGATAAAGAAATTTAATTTGTCGGCTGGTGAAAACTCGAAGAGTTTGCTGCACCAACTTCCTTTCTAACCAAATCCCAGTAGGGTCAAATAGGTTACAATCAGCTTCGGTTCTTGAGTCCTTTTTTTTTTTTTAAGATAGTAACAGAGTAGTAGAAACCAGGGTGTGAACTAGCGGAAGTTTCTTTTTATTTGTGTAAACTTGATTTTGATAATTAATTAGGCTTGATTATCAACACTTATTCTCTAGCTAAGCCACATGATGATCTAATTAATTGCTTTTAGATTATAACGTGTCTCGTGATTCCTTAATGACATGAGAGGGAAGCACGGTCTAATGAAACTTNAACAACGGATATGGGCCAAGTACAGTTTCGAGACCACGGGAAAAATAAGCGGTTGAGCATGACAAGTAGGGAGCCATAATATTCTCCCTCAACCGGATATTACAGCGCAAATCCCGTCCGATATTAACTGCGGATCGACAATTACCAGAAAAAGAAGATTTTTACCTTATTTAGACTTGTACTAGGATTGAAATCCCCCTACTATATAAATGAGAGAATTCTTTTATTCTAACACACTGTTGACACGTATATCAAAGCAATACAACTTCATTTTTATCTTTTAGCTATTATTCAAAGTGTTCTTCAGTTACTCTCTTCTTTTAATTGCAACCGAGCCCATATTGAGGGTTCAATCGAGGCCGAATTTCGGTGTTCAACTTCAAACCAGGCTTGATTGTTCCATTACGATTGGTTTAATCATTCATTCTCAGTTTAATCTAATTACTTGTTATTCTCAGATCATTCGTATTGAATTAAATCATATATCCTTTAAACTGCATACAAATTTTAATTGTTACTCGTTTTTAAGGGTAAATAGTTTGGCGCCACCGTGGGGCAAAGGATAATAGTGGTGATTTGATACGAATCTCCATAACACACCTTATTTTATACTTGTTCTTTGAAGTTTAGATTTCAGGTTAACCTAAGGATGTCAAATTCTCAGTCTGCTCACTTGAGCGTTGATGCCGAGTCAGGCCACCACGGCGAAAACCATAATGTGGTACCTAGGAATGAAGTGCCCATGTTGATCCCAATGACGTACCAGTCGCTGACCCAGTCGACGCTAACTCACAGGTTGCCATCAACATCAATCTGCTAACCGGCCTCGAAAATAGCATTCGCGGGGTACCCCGACCATCGGCTCGAGAAGCACTCAAAGGGGAAGGTGATGGGGTTAGCTTGCGGTTGATTTTCAAAATATTGCAAGCTCAACAAGCACCAATAGCGTAGTTGCAGACCCAAAGTCACGTCCCTAAAAGGATCGAGCCCGAGCGAATCAGAGAAAATACTCAAAGGGATGAACAAGTTGCCTTGGAACTGGATGAATTCGGGCTCGAGAAAACTTTCGAGGTGATGAAGATGCTCGAAGCATTGACAAAGCGGTTGGAGTCTGGAGAGAAAAAGATAGAGGCCAACTACAAGAGGCGGAAACTTATAACTCTAGGGTCGATCATATCCCGAGAGCAACCCCAATATTGAAGGGGCCGAATTCCAAAAGATTCATTCAGAAGCCTTTCCTCCCTAGCGTGGCACCAAAGCCGATCCAAAGAGGCTTCGAATGGCCGACATTCCCAAGTATAATGGGACCATAAATCCAAACGAGCATGTAACCTCCTATACATGCGCAATCAAAGGAAATAACTTGGAAGACGACTAGATCGAGTCAGTTTTGTTGAAACAATTTGGGGAAACCTTATCCAAGGGAGCGATAATATGGTATCACAACTTGCCTCCGAATTCTATTGGTTCGTTTGCTATACTTACAGATAATTTCATAAAGGCCCATGCCGGTGCTTAGATACACCTCCACATGTTTGGTGATGTCCTCATCAGGATCGGGGACGACCAATTCTTTGCCGATACATTTGCAGTTCTTCTGAACTGTAGGGAGCGTGTCCTCGGTGATGGAGCATATGTACCTCCATACCTCCTTACCTCGATCCTATTGACTGGAAGCTTTTTCGACCTTGAAGTCATTTTCTATAGAGCAACCTCCAGGGATGAAGTTTTTCATGGAAGGTTCCGGGGTCACTTCAGGTATGGCCACCTCAGCATCCGTAGACGGGTTAGAAGTTTAAGGGACGGTTTGTTAAAGCATGGATTACGAAGTCTTTGCCATCGAGTTCTGAAAAATATGAATATATGAAGGCGAGTATGAAGATTTGAAGATGAGGATGAAGATCTGAAGGTCAAACTTAAAGGTTCAAGGATGAAGTATGAATATTTGGAGATGGAGAGATGAAGATGTGAAGGGGTTAAAAGCAAGTGAAAAGTTCAGGGGTAAATTGAGGAGTTCTGGAATCGGAAAGTAAAAAAGCGAAAAAAGGACCGAAGCTATTATAGAGAAGTGGTAATTAATGCATAACGTTTCACATTCGAGGACGATCAACCGGCGGCTGACATATGTCCGAAGTTAGAATGACGCGACTGATGGGAAATTTCACTAACTATCGACCCGATTGTAGCATACGGAAGAAGGAACCGGGGTTAATTAATTATTTCTCGTCACTTCGATAAATCAGCTCACCGCAAAGTGAGGGGACTAATCTATGTACGGGTAAAATCAGGGACAATGTTACCCCTGATTCCCTAATAGAGACACGAGAGGGAAGCACAGTCCAATGTAATTTCAAGCGAAGCCGAAGGGTCCCTCCTGTCGGAGTTCGGGAGGGATGAACAATGTATCTGGGATCAGATACGGTTAAACAATGGATCTGGGCCAAGTACAGTTTCGAGACTACGGGAAAAAGTAAATGGTCGAGAATGACAAGTAGGGAGCCGTAATATTCGGCCTCAACCGGATATTACTGCACAAATTCTATCCGGTATCAACTGCAGATCGATATTTACCGGAAAAAGAAGATTTTTGCCTTATTTAGACTTGTACTAGGATTGAAATTCTCCTACTATATAAATGGGAGAATGCTTTTCATTCTAACACACTATTGACACGCATATCAAAGCAATAAAAGTTTATTTTTGTTGTCTAGCTATTATTAAAAGTGTTTTTCAGTTACTCTCTTCTTTAATTGCATTTGAGCCCATATCGAGGGTTCAAGCGAGGCCGAATTTCAGTGTTCAACTTCAGACCAAGCTTGATTGTTCCATTACGTTTGGTTTGATCGTTCATTCTCTCTTTAATCAAATTATTTGATGTTCTCAGATCATTCGTATTGAATTAAATCATGTATCCTTTAAACCGCGTACAAATTTAATTGTTACTCATTTTTAAGGGTAAACAATTATTTTTCATATGTATACATCGTTCGAGTCGAAAGCAATAGATACGGTTAAAACTTAAAACATAGAAAACCCACTCTAACTCCGCCTTCGGTGGGTAGAAAGCTGTGCATGAGTCCCAGATAATTGTAGTTAATTTTATGCCTGGGAATTGTTGGATTATAAGGAGCTCATATATAGAGTCTATAGAACAAGCTAATTACATTCTATAAACTCCACAATGTAAATAATATATTACATACTATTAAAAAAACTGGAATTGGCTACGAACTCCATCACTAATGATTAGCGACGAATTATCTATTTAACTACAGAATTTATCCGTCGTTAATTTCTTTTTTTTTTTTAATAGTACGTTACTTACAACATAATTATAGGTAAATTGTTATAATAAACACAATAGCCTAGCTAGTACATATAGTAATTTGCTGTAACATGTTAAATTAGACTTATAGTGTAGGTAAACATTGTTTACAGTGTGTATACAACTTAAGTCACTTGAATCCAAACAGAAATATGTAGCAGAGGGGGTTATGAATGACATTTCAGTAAATGTATAAACAAATAATAAGCTCCCACGTAAGTCATGTTCCACTGATACACAGTACAACATTAGGACAAAGGCAAAGAGTATTATATATAACAGTAATCAGCATTTCAACTTTGAGTAGTTATATTTAGTAGGAGTTGAAGGAGGCAACCAAATCAGAGGGTAATTAAACTATAATTAGAAAATGGGAAGGTCTCCTTGCTGTGAGGAAAATGGTCTAAAGAAAGGACCTTGGACTCCTGAAGAAGATCAAAAACTCACCAATTATATCAATAAACATGGCCATGGCAGCTGGAGAGCCCTCCCTAAACTTGCAGGTATATACACAATTTACAACATGAATTTTTGATTCCAGAATTCTTTCTCATGTGATTAAAAATGGCAGCTCGGTGCACTAAGCTCCCGCTATGTACGAGGTCCGGGGAAGGGCCGGACCACAAGGGTTTATTGTACGTGGCCTTATACTGCATTTCTGCAAGAGGCCGCTGTTTTCACGGTTCGAGCCCGTGACCTCCTGGTCACATATAATTTAAAGAAATAATATTTTTTTTTGATGTTGCATGCTCAGGTCTTAATAGATGTGGAAAGAGTTGCAGATTGCGTTGGACTAATTATCTTAGGCCTGATATTAAAAGAGGCAAGTTTTCTCAAGAAGAGGAACAAACAATTCTCAATCTCCATGCTGTCCTTGGCAACAAGTAATTATTTCACTTTCTTCAATAAATTTGGCTATGGCTTGAAAATTTGAATATTTCGTTATCGGATTTAACTCATATGCATTAATAGCGTAAAACTAAATTTTCAATACCAATGTATTTTAACCTATTGTAGCAGATAACATTTCATGTCTTAGTTTTCAAGTTACTATTCTAACTTTTTATATACGATTATCTATATATAAAGAATTACTTAGGTGACTTAATATTGTAAAGTTTCTTTTACGTTAGAGTATAGAAGTTAAACTCTTTATCTTTTTATCTTGTTCAAGGTGGTCTGCAATTGCAACTCATCTACCAGGGCGAACTGATAATGAAATCAAGAACTTCTGGAATACTCATTTGAAGAAGAAGTTAATTCAGATGGGGTATGATCCAATGACTCACAGACCTCGAACTGATATTTTTAACAGCTTACAACATCTTATAGCTTTGGCAAATTTGAAGGAGTTGATGGAACATCAGTACTTGCAAAATCTCCTCCAAACTCACAATAACATCAGTTTCAGTACTTCTATCCAAGATATTGAAGCTTACAATCTTTTAAATTCACTTTCTTCATTGAAAGATAGCCAATTCTTAGGCACTAACAACCATATGGAAAATCACTTAATTTCCTCACCTAATTCAAGTCTTCAAGCTATTCAAGATTTAATCCCTTTTTCACATTTGCCTGAATTACAAACCTCTTGTAGTTTCCAAAATTCAATAAACAAAGATAAGGTTCGGCCTCAAAACACTGACTTTACTGTTTTGAGCAATGGAGAAACATTATCACCTACTTCTCCATGGATTCCTTCTGCTCTATCTCCTTCTCCTCCTCGTCCTTCGCTAACAAATGATCAGAGAAGAAAAGAAAATTCATCAGAAATGGTGGTCTCATCTTGCTTACTGGAAGAGAGGAAGCTTCCGGACCATCTTTTTCAACCAGATAGCGAGCGAGCACTCAGCAATGAAGGAGCTCCACCTTCTATCTGGCCTGACCTTCTCCTTGAAGACTCTTTTTTCCAAGATATTCCAAAGTTTTAAAATAGTAGTACCTGGAATAACCAGTGCCAGTTACTTGACTGTTGGAGGAGAAACCACTGTTAGAAATGTTCACATAGAAGCTCCTCTTTCATCTGCAGGTATAGTATATGGTATAAATTGCTTGGAGTTTTAATTTTCACAAACTTTTTTTCCATTTTTTGTACTTTACTAGTTTGCCTTGCTAAAGTTTTAAAATAGTAGTACCTGGAATAACCAGTGCCAGTTACTTGACTGTTGGAGGAGAAACCACTGTTAGAAATGTTTACATAGAAGCTCCTCTTTCATCTGCAGGTATAGTATATGGTATAAATTGCTTGGAGTTTTAATTTTCACAAACTTTTTTTCCATTTTTTGTACTTTACTAGTTTGCCTTGCTATTTTTGGTTTTCCTAGACAGGATATACAATTTCCATTAATATAGCGAGTCAAAGAATCAAAGCACAACTGATAAAACAGTAGTATATAAAAAATGTGAATGCATTGGTTCTTGGATATTATAGGTTATGTAATTTTCAATTACTTTTCCCCTTCATTTTCCTTTTCTTTTTCGATATTTTTCAAACATACTGTATTAAATAGTGAGTAACATCATTTCTCACATTCTTATGAAAGTACTGGTTTCGTTTACTAATACATACGTAAGGCAAGCCATGAATGATTTGTGATCATGCAAAAAGCTGCTGCATGCTAAGAGGAAGAATCGTAAACTCTGAATTGCGCAAAGAGGTGAAGCCTGAATTTGAAGTTTATGAGTTAATTTTGAATTTGTTATCGGACTTAAAGCTCGTTTAGTTACAAGATTCGCAATTAAATATTTATATATTTAATGAATTTTTTTATACAAATACGAATCTAAACAAAGACTATTAGGTTTTTCCAAACCCGCAGCTAATAATCGATTAATCACGCACTATAATACCAACCAAACAAAGAAGTGCAGAATCCAACTTAAAGTAACTTAAGATTAAGCATTTTAGCTGTTCCTTTTTTGTTTCTTTACTTCTTGGAAGCTTTTGGATATTCACTTTAATTAGTACTATATTCAAATGGCCTACAGGGGAAAACCATAGACAAGAGAAAACAAAATTAAGAAAAAGAAGGAAGAAAACAAATAGATATAAGCATTCCCCACAGATGATCTTATGTTCGGGAAACGGATTTAATTTAAAGAGTTAATTTGTTGTAGTAGGTAATATACCTTAATTTTTAGGTAGTAACAGAGACTCCATGATAATTAACATATTGGTCCTAACCCCTTTAGGGTTTGGACTTTTATCATCAACCAAAAGAAAAGTAGTGGGATCGGGGGGTAGANGGGGGGTTCCAAAAGTGGTTAGGAAATAACTTGGAATTCATTCATTTTTTTGTCTTTAGCAAATGATTTGGAATGGAAAGATACAACATTCCTAACCCATTAATAATTCATGATTCAGACTTCTATGAAAAGACTGAACAGAAACATATGTCAAAATTACCTTTGGTGCGCAGTTATTTTCTCAGTGAGTAGGTGGACTTCACTTTCTTTTCTACCAAGAGATTGACTATCACAATCATGCCATAATGAACATAATGTTTATATTTGTGTACTGCATAAAGTTCTAGAACAAGGAAGATTATTACAATGAGTCCAATTGTTTGAGTTAGTCGGTACAAGTGATCTAAGATTATATTTGTCGACAAATAAAAGTAGTATCATCATTTTATTAAAGTTAAAGATCTTGGTCTTTCTTGTTGTATGGGGTAAAATATATTTCTATTTGATGATCGCATGAGAAAGCGACACGTGCAGTCGAAGACAAAAGAGAGTCAAATCCGAAGGCAATAATCTCGCTTGTCATCAGAGAGTGATATTCATAAAGGCCTCAAGCGATACCTGTCGAGCCCTCCCTTGCTGCACACTCCGAAGGAGGACGAACAGTTATACCTCTACTTGGCAGTTTTCGAGGTAGCGGTAAGTGCTGTCCTGGTCCGAGAAAAAAAAAAGTAGGCAATTTCCTATATATTATATTAGTAGGACCCTAGGCAATGCCAAAACAAGGTATCACACTTAGAAAAATTAGCGCTCGCCTTATTAAGCAATTCTAGGAAATTTAAATCGTACTTTCAATGCCACCCCATATGTGCCATGACCTCGTACCCGCTGAGGCATGTCATGCATAAGCCCGAGCTCTCGGACTGGCTGGCCAAATGGGTCATAGAAATTAGCAGGCACGATATCGAGTATAAACCTCGAACAACCATAAAATATCAGAATTTGGCGGACTTTGTTGCCGACTTTACGCTGGCCTTGGTTCCCGAGGTTGAGAAGGAGTTATTGCTCATTTCGGGGATTAGCCCGGGGATCGGGACCTATTCACGGACGGTGCTTCAAGCGTAATGGGGTCCAGACTGGGCATCGTATTAAAACTAACTACGGGTAACATAATTAGGCAGTCTATTAGAACTGTAAAACTGACTAATAACGAAGCCGGGTAGCAACCTATGATTGCAGGTCTAGAGCTGGCTAAGAGCTTGAGGCCGAAGTGATCGAGACCAAATGTGACTCCTTCCTTGCCGTGAACCAAGTCAACGAGACTTTTGAAGTGAAAGAGGAACGGATTCGGAGATACTTGGATAAGTTGTAGGTGACCTTACACCATTTCAAGGAATGGACTATACAACACGTACCTCGGGATCAAAATAACGAGGCCGATGCATTGGCCAATTTGGGATTATCAGTTGACTCCGATGAATTTGACTCCTGAGCAGTAGTACAGTTGATGAACTCGGTGGTAGAAGATGGCTACGTCGAGATTAACTCGACAAGCTTGACTTGGAACCGCAGAAACAAAAACATAGACTTCTTGGGGAAAGGAAAACTACCATCGGTTCCCAAGGAGTCAGGAGACCTACGTGCTAAAGCTTCCAGGTTCAGCTTGGTCGAAGAGAAATTGTTCAAAAGATCCTTTTTAGGGCCCCTAGCTAGGTTCTTGGGTCCTGGGGAGACCGACTACGCCATGAGAGAAGTACACGAAGGCACTTTTGGAAACCATTCGGGAGCAGAATCACTAGTTCGAAAATTGATCAGAGCCGATTACTACTGGAAGGAGATGGAGAAGGACGCAAAAGACTTCGTATGAAAATGTAACGAGTTTCAAAGACCGATTATTTTTCCAAGTGGGTCGAAGCTCAGGCCTTCGAAAAGGTTCGGGAGAAAGAGGTCATTGACTTCTTCCGGGATCATATAATATGCTGATTCGGGATACCAGCCAAGATCGTTTGCGACAACGGGAAGCAGTTCGTCGGCAGCAAGGTAAGTAAGTTTCTCGAAGACCATAAAATTAAAAAGATCTTATCTACACCTTACCACCCTAGTGGGAATGGACAAGCAGAGCGAGCAAACAAAACTATACTCCAAAACATGAAGAAGAGATTGACCGATTCGAAGGGAACGTGGAAACAAATCATGCCCGAAATCTTGTGAGCATATCGAATGACTTCGAAGTCAAGTACCGGTGCGACCCCGTTCTCTTTAGTCTATGGCGTGGAAGCTCTAATCCCGGTCGAGGTGAGGGGAACCAAGCCTAAGGTTCCATTATACTACTGAGACATCAAACGACGAGGCCATAGCCATGTGTTTGGACTTATTGAACGAAAGGCGAGAAGTCGCCCTGGTTCGGTTAGCTGCCCAAAAGCAACGAATAGGGAGGTATTATAACCGAAGGGATAACCTTAAACATTTGCAAGTTTGGGACTTGGTATTAAGGAAAGTTATTCTACATACCCAGAACCCGAACGAGGAAAAACTTGGCCCGAACTGGAAGGTCCGTATAGAGTTGTCGGAATAACAGGGAAAGGCTCTTATAAGCTCGAGTCAGGGAATGGTGTGTAACTACCGAACAACTGGAACGTGGCACACTTAAAGCGGCACTACTACTAAGGTACAGACACAATTTACTTTGAAATTTGTTATGCTTTGGACTAACTTATGCAGGTACTCGGTCGAGGGTAAATTTGACAACTAGGTCTAAAAGCACGTGTTGTACTCTTTTTTTCTTGGATCGATTTTTTCTCGAAGTGGGTTTTACAACAAGGTTTTTAACGAGGCAACAATAAAATGTGCTACCTTAGTTTCGAATACTGGCCTGAGTCTAGAATTGCTTACCACCTGTACTAATCCGACAATTTTCGTGCCCTCACAAACCCAGTCTCAAATATTGGGGGGTCATTACGCCTTAAATTAGGATCGTTAAGAGGTGTTCTTATTTGATATTAAATCCAAGGCTCGATTATTAGAATTCATTGTAAGAGTCAAACAGTCAAATGAACCGTACCCGTGTAGCTCATTCTTGCCATGGCAGAAATATTATGCGCCTCCGATTATGTATTCTACATGCAAAGTAATGAATGAAATTTTCCCTATATATTTTATCACGTTACATTTTCACCATCGATATATTCGTTGAGTTGCTTAGAACAAATAACGGATCCTAAATCTAGAGCGTATGGGCCTTCCCGAATCGGGGACTGTTGTCCGATAATAAGAGCGGGCAGCTCGGGCTATAGAATCCCGGAGGTACCAAGCCTATTAGGCAGGGCACGAATATGAAAGGCTTCGGCCAACTCAAAACGGCTTGGAGACGTCCAAGTCTGTACTAAGAAAATAAGGTCTTTACATATGATTAAAACCCATTAAAAGGTCGCCCTCGGCAAAACATCATCGTGTATGACTGAAACATTCAAGTATATTAAAGTCTTCATATTTATCGGGTATTTCAAAACCTAAAAAACTCAGAGTTGTTATCGAAATCAGGCCTCATCCGGGATTCGGGAGAATGAGCACTCTAGATTATGTCCAATTATATGCTAAGGCATTAATGACATTTTTGAAATAAAGAGTTGCAAATTGATACTGAAAAGTAAAAGACTCATTATGGCCGAAGGGAAATGTTTTATATATATATTGCAAAAATATTTACAAAGGCGATAAAGCGGCCTCAAAATGAACAAAAAAAAAGTACAAAAGAAAATGAAAAATAAAATAAGGCATCTTCGTCCACTATTCACCATAGCCCGATTCAGTACCAGTACCCTCGGGCTCATATATCTCTTTAGCCTCGGCCTCGAGCCTCTTGGCCTCTTCAATATCGGCCGCTAGATCAAACCTCTGGGTGTGAATCTCCTCGAGTGTCTCCCTCTGGGATAGCCACTTTATGTACTCGGCCTTTGTTATCAAGCGGGCCTTAGTTATTTCCACGTCATTTTTATATTAGGCCAGCATCTCCTCGATCTCAGAGGAATCGGCCGAATATGCCTCTAACTTGGACTTCAACACGGTATACTCCCGGCTGAGGTCGTCCCGTTCC